AGGTGCTTCTTATTTCATATTCACAGGAGGAAACTCTAAACCTTGAAGAAGTTTTGCATGACCTTCCTTTAAGAACAACTTTGCCCATTGCAAGAAATTTTCAGGAAATGACAAAAATCTCTATGCATAGATATCAACAAGATGTCTTGGCTTCAATGGTGCAAAAAATTCCCCACTTGGGAGAATTTTAAAATAAGACAAGTCTAAAACAATATGAAGAAGATGATTTAAAATATTTTATTGAAATCCATAGTGAATTTCATGGCTATAGTTGAATGTGTTTAGAATAGAACAATCAAATCAAATGAACACTACTTGCTTCAGTTCACAGAGCAGAATTTTTTTGTTTGTTTTCAGAAGTTCCATTTAAGTTAAGGTTTTTGCTATTTTATGAAGATTTAATCAAAAAATTTGTCTACTGATCCTGAATTGTTTACAGTTAAAATGCCTCTTGTTAGTCCCAAGGTAGCTATCATTTTCTGTATCTTCCAAATGGTATTCTCACACTTTTGGCTTGGACATGAAATTGTTTTAAATTTATATCCAAATTTCTCTTATCTTCCATTTTGCTGAAAAGTTGGTAAAATTTTGTTCACTGTTGATTCAAGTTTTTCTTTTAAACACAACCAACCTATTTATTTATTCCCCAATCCCTAATTTATTTAATTTGTGTAGGCTTTAGCATACAAGTTTCTGTAAGTGAAGTGTTTTCAGAGGCTGCAATCTTTTTGAAGTGAAATCTATAATTTTTTGTCCTTTAAATGGCTACTGCTTTTTTTTTTAATACAAGAAATCACACAGTTGTCATATTGTGGTGACTCATTGAATTACTTCAGAGAAAAGCATAACTCTAAAAGGATTTTTGCCTTGATTTTTTTTAAATATGTGCCACAGCAACTCCCTCTTTTAATGATAACTAAATGATTTGAGTCAGTGAGCTGTTACAAAGCTTAGTAGAAAGTGAAGAGCGATGCCTTGCCGCAATGAGGTATTTGTAAGATTTTGCTCTTTCTAATCTTTGTGATAATTTTCTTCTAAATATAGCTATCAATAGCTATTAAATAAATATGTCCATTAAAGACATATTAAAAGACTCCAGATAATGGCAGGTAAATCTTATTAGGTGAGACGTTACAATGTTGCAGAAAACTTGACAGGTAATTTAAGAGTCTGCAAAGGTTTTTGATTCATTAACCAAATATGCCTTACATGGAGTTTAATCAAGACCTGTTTAGAAGACAGTTAACCATACTTAATACTTTTTCTGTTGTCCATTTCGTAATAATAACAGTCAGAAGAAATCAAATAATGATTGTGTCATTTTCAGTAGGTAAATGAAGATATTATCTTATCTATTTGAATATTGTTCTCCAGAGAGGAAAGTAAACTGGGAATTTCTATCTGAAAAGCCCAATCTTCAGCATATTCTAAGCAGTGCTAAATTTTCATGACAGGAGCCCAGTTTTTTTTTTTTTTCCATTGATCGATTACCATTTCAGGGAAGCTATTGAGACCTCAGGCAGACAATTTCGAGTGGGGGAAGGTAGAGTCTAATCTCATCTGTTTTTAAGTTATTTTGTTTATTCATATTTTACCTTACGTTTAATATAATGACTTTTTTTGTCACCTTAATTGCAAATTTGGAGCCTGCATAGTGTGAAAAATAATTCATCAGAAGTACTCCCAGAAGTCAGTGTAAGAGTTATGATTCCAAACACTTTCCAGCACAATTCTTGCCTTCTTTATTTTTGATAACAAACTGCAAATCTACTGCATTATCTGAGAGATGTGTCTGTGAGAGAGACAGAGAGACAGAGAGAGAGAGAGAGAGGAAAAAAGGAAGAAGTCTCACCATAGTGGGTTTGCTGTCTAGAGAGAGAGAGAGAGAGAGAGAGAGGAAAAAAGGAAGAAGAAAAGAGGGAAATGGTAGAACAAATGGAAATTTGAGGAGATCTACTTTTCATTTCTACTGTTTAGCAATATGCAAGCATAATAGCTGGATGATTAATAAATTGAATGATTAGTGAATAAATTAAGAATAAATTGACAACCTTAAAACCACATTGATAATAATGCAGTATAATTGCTATGTGGATTACTATCTCCAAGGTTCATTCGACTTTGGAATTTGTTAATATACTTCCCTTACACAACTAACGGACAAGATGCAAGACAGGGTTCTCTCTGCTCTATTAATGAATATGTTCTATTTTAATGAAAATACATTAAAAGAAATATGTAATGGAAATATTATTATCACTCATCACTTCACTTACACAATAGACGTTTCTCTTTTCTAAAAGTTGTACCTATATAGAAAACAGTGGTGTAAATTAAATGTTGGTAATTGATATAAATATTTTTATTGGTATAAAATTTAAAATATATATTTCTATGTATACTCTATATATTATATATTCTATGTATAATATATATTTTCTCTATATAATTTTATATTTAAATATATTTATATTTAGAAGTCTTGGTTATATGGGAAAAATGGTATTGGGTAGGGTATCTCAGAGGCTTTGTAATGAAACAGAAGCCAAAAGTGTCTATGTTTGTGTGTTTCTGTATCTGAGAGAAAATTAACTGATTCGGCTGTGTCAAAAATCAAGAAACATACAGAGATATTAGGAATGACTTTCAGAGAGTAAACATATTTGAAGGGCCAAAGAAGGTATCAAATTAGAGGAGAAATTTTGAAGCTGAGGTCTGAAAGATGAGTTTGAGAGCATAAAATGTGAGAGCATTGCCTGGTTAAATTATAGATATTAATAGTTTTTATAAGTTGGTATGTCCTCAGGGCAGGGATAGACAGTCAGAATTTTCAGGGCCAGAGGCTAGTTTCAGAAATAGGGACTGGAAAACCAGAAAAGATGGATTTTGGATATTCTGAGGTCATGTAAAATGTCTTAAACATCCAATAAATAATATATATAAATTGACGGGAGAAAATATTACCGGTTGACTAGAGTCAGCGTCTTTTTATCTTTAGAAGAGCCTACTCTTTCTATGCATGGTTGCAAAAGTTGGGCAGTTAAGAAAGTTGGTGGAAAGAAAAATGATTCATTTGAAATATGATTGGAGGAGAGCTCTATGGATACCTCGGACTGCCAGAAAGACAAACAAGTAGGTTCTAGAACAAGTTAAACCTGAAACACCACTGGAGGCAAAAATGACAAAACTGAAGCTGTCTTATTTCAGTCACATCATGAGAAGGCAGGGTTCCTTGGAAAATACAATAAGGTTGGGAGAAAATAGAAGGCAGCAGGAAGAGAGGAAGACAAAATATGAGGTGGATTGACTCCATAAAAGAAGCCATAGGCATGAGTGTATAGTTGCTGAGCAGTGCTGTTGAGGACAGGACATTGTGGATGTCATTCATTCATAGGGTATCCAGGAGTTGGAGCTGACCCAATGGCACATAACAAACATTTTTTCTTATTAGATTTCAATTGATAGTCTCTATTTTTAGTCTTTAGTTGATAGTCTCTATTTTTAGACTATACGCTCCTTGAGGATAATGCTCATTAATCATATGATTCATGCATTCATTTATAAGTGGCTCATCACAGTTTATTAATACGACTAAGAATGTTTGAGTTAGAAAAAAATGGATTTCGATTTTGTGAAATGTCACTTATCAGTTGTATGAATGTAAGCAAGTTAGTTGATTTCTCTGAAAACATCATATTCTTTAATTTACCTTGCAGAATTGTTGTGAATGTTACAGAGAAAGTAAATAAATAACGTGCATTGTGTTCAGTTTATAATAAGTGTTTAATATTTGGTGCATATGTTGGACATACTCAATATCTAGCCCCCAATAGGCTCTCTATCCTTCTCTAAATACATTTAATTCACTGAATATCTTAGTTTGGGTTCCCCCAAAAGTAGAGATGGAGACAAGGAAGTCGCTACACCTATTCTCCTTCTAATGGAATTTAACTCTCTTGACATTCTTGAACAGGCAGATTTCTGCTGATTTGAAGAAAGTTATGAGGCAGAAATAGAACAGACTCAAGAAGAGCTTGTCAATATATATATGTGGAACTGTCCACTGCCACTGTGCTAGAATCACAGTGAGCTTAATGTATATGGGGCACAGCAAAGAAAGGGTCTTTACAACTAATAAATTGTGACATTTATACTTAGAATTTCAAAGGCATAAAATAAGTATTCAGAGGGCAGGGTGTTCTTCTGTTTTATATTTGTATTCTATATGCCTAGCACAATTCCTGGCACATATTAGATATTTTTAAGGAGTTTGTTGACTTAAAGTACATTAATTACTGATAGTGTCTTATAGAAGTGCTAACACACGTATGCTGAAATTTTAATGTGAAGGGCAGTGTACTATTAATTAGCCCAGGATATCAAATTGTTATAGAAGTAACATTTTGGATTTTTAGTTACTATCTGTTTGGATTTTCTAAATGTAATAGTCTTAGTAAGTATTTAATAAAAACAATTATAGACTATAAAACATCTGTGATTATAAAAATACTATCTTATGCTCTGTTATAGTAAAATTCTAATGCATTTATTTTTATATGACAACATGCAAATAGAAAAATGCCACTTAACAGAAAGGAAAACAGTTATGAAAACTCTCTTTTGAGAATCAGAGTTGTTTGTACAACCTACAAGGTGACATATCTTCATTTTAGGTATGCCCTAATATACCAAGCCCTCTCCAAAGGTATACATAAAGGATAACTTAGTTTAAGCCTGTTTAATTTTTTAAATTATTCTTAAATTTTTTAAAAATTACAATTGACATATGATATTATATTAATTTCAGGTGTACAGCATAATTATTAGACGTTTATATAATGTATGAAGTGATCGCTGCAATAAATCTAGTATCCATCTGACACCATACGTAGTTGTAACAATATTATTGACTATTTTCCTTATGCTATACTTTACATCCCCATGATTATTTTGTAACTATCAATTTTCAATTTGTATTTCTTTTTTTTTTTTTAATTCAATCCTGTGTGAAACGAGCCCACATGCTGTATATACAGCACACTATAAGCGCTGTGAGGCCAACTTCAGTATTACTTTTTCTCCTTTTACAACCACCAAAACTGGTGTTCAGATCTGATGGGAAAGAGAACTGGAGGGACAATTTATATTTCTTAATCCCTTCCACTTTTTCGCACACTTCCCCAAACCCTTCCTATCTGGCAACCATCAAAATGTTCTCTGTATCTATGAGTTTGTTTCTGTTTTATTTTTTATTTTGTTTTTTAGATTACTCATGTAAGTGAAATCATTTGGCATTTATTTTTCTCTATCTGACTTACTCCACTCAGCACAATGCCCTCTAGGTCCATCCCTGTTGTTGGACCAACAACGACAGATGACAAAATTTCATTCTTTTTTATGGCTGAGTAATATTCCATCATATATATATGTACCACTTCTTTTTTATTCATTCATCCAATAAAAGACATTAGGTTGCCTCCATAACTTGGCTATTGTAAATAATGCTTCAATGAACATATGGATGCACATGTCCCTTTGAAGTTTGTTTTGGATTTCTTCAGATAAATACCCAAAAGTGGGATTACTGGGTCCTTCTTTTCTTTGTCTTCTGTTATAGCTTTTGATTTAAAGTCTACTTTGCCCAGTATAAGTGTTTTACCCAAGATGTTTTGTTGTTGTTGTTTCATTTTAATGAAATATCTCTTTCTCACCTTTACTTTCAGTCTGTATGTATTTTTTGACCTGAGTGAGCCTCCTGTAGGCAGCATATGTGAGAGTTTTGTTTTCTTATCCATTCAGCCACCCTGTCTTTTGATTAGAGCATTTAATCTATTTACATTTAAAGTAATTGTTGATAGATATGTAGTTATTGCCATTTTATTATTTATAGTTTCTCTCTTTTTCTTTTTTAATTCTTCTTCTTAAAGAAGTCTCTTCAATATTTCCTATAATATTGGCTTCGTGGTGATGAACTCTTTTAGCTTCTTCTGCTCTTCATATATCCTTCGGTTTTAAATGACTGCTTTGCTGGGTAGAATAATATTGGTTGTAGGTCCTTGTGTTTCATCGCTCTGAATATTTCATGCCAATTCCTACTGGCCTGCAATATTTCTGTTGAGAAATCAGCTGACAGTCTTATGAGGGCTCTCTTGTAGGTAACTAACTGCCTTTCTCTTGCTGCTTTTAAGATTCTCTCTTTGTCTTTTGCCTTTGGTTTTTAATCATGATTTGTCTTTATGTGGGCCTCTTTGTGTTCATCTTCTTTAGGACTCTATTTCTTGGGCTAGTATGTGTATTTCCTTTTCATGTTAGGGAAGTTTTCTGCCATTCTTTCTTTTTTAAAAACAGGTTTGTTTGTTTTTTTTTCATACTATATATACATAATTTTTTAACATTTTATTTTTTTATTTTTCTCCCTCCCCTCTGATAACCACTAGTCCACTAGTCCATGAGTCTCTGTTTGTCCTGTTCATTTGTTGCTTTTAGGTTTATATCCTACATATAAGTGATATCATGTGATTTTCAACCTTTTCTCTCTGACTGATTTCACTTAATAAGATTATTTCAAGATCCATCTATGTTGTTGCAAATGGCAGTATTTCATCTCTTCTTATGGCTGAGTAATAGTCCAGTGTATATATGTACCACAGCTTCTTTAGCCAATCATCTACTGTAGGACACTTCGGTTATTTCCATGTCCTGGCCCTTGTGAATAATGATGCTATGAACATCAGTGTGCAAATATTTTTTTGGAGATGAGCTTTCAAGTCTTTGGAGTAAATACCCAGTAGAGGGATTGCTGGATCATAAGATAGATCAATTCTTAGTTTTTTTGAGGATGTCCATACTGTTTTCCGTAGTGGCTATACCAATTTGCAGTCCCACCATCAGTATATGAGTGTTCTATTTCTCCACATCCTCTCCACATTTGTTATTACTTGTCCTGTTGATTATAGCCATTCTAAAAAATGTGAGATGGTATCTCATTGTGGTTTTGATTTGCATTTCCCTAATAACTAGCGATGTTGAGCATTTTTTCATATATTTGTTGACCATTTATATATCCTCTAGGGAGAAATGTCTGTTCGGGTCCTCTACCTAATTTTTGATTGGATCATTTGTTTTTTTGTTGTTATTAAGTTATATGAGTTCTTTGTATAATTTGGATATTAGGCCCTTATTGGAGGCATTGCTTACAAATATTTTCCCATTCGGATGGTTGTCTCTTCACTTTGTTGACGGTTTCTTTTGATGAGCAGAAGCTTTTTAGTTTGATGTAGTCCCATTCATTTATTTTAGCTTTCACTTCCCTTGCCTTTGAGGTCAAATTCATAAAAGTCTCTTTAATCCAAGTTCCTTCAGTTTAGTTCCTATGTTTCTTCTATTTATTTTATTGTTTCAGGTCTTATATCCAGGTCCTTAATCCATTTTGAGTTAATTTTGGTGTGCGGTGATAGACAACAGTCTAGTTTCATCCTTCTGCAGGTGGCTTTCCAGCCATTTATTTTCCCAGCACCATTTATTGAAGAAGCTTTCCTTTCTTCACTGTATGTTTATGGCGTTTTTGTTGAAAATTGTTTGCCTGTATAAATATCGGTTTACTTCTGGATTCTCGATTCTGTTCCACTGGTCCATGTGTCTGTTTTTCTGCCAATACCATGTCATTTTGATTACTGTTGCTTTGTAGTATAATTTGAAATCACGCAAAGTGATTCTTCGAGCCTCGTTCTTTTTTCTCAGGATGGCTTAGGCAATTCGGGGTCTTTTGTGCTTCCATAAAAATCCGATGATTTTTTGTTCTATTTCTTTAAAAAATGCCGATGGGATTGCGATGGAGATTGCATTAAATGTATAATGCTTTAGGTACTATGGTCATTTTAAATATGTTGATTCTTCCAATTCAAGAACGCAAAATATTTTTCTATTTCTTTGTATCTTCTTCAATTACTTTTAACAGGGTCTTATATTTTTCATTATATAGACCCTTCATATGTTCTGTTAAATTTATTCCTAGGTATTTTATTCTTTTTGTTACAATTGCAAAAGAAATTATTTTTTCCACTTCTTTTTCTGACACTTAGTTATTAGAGCATAGGAAAGCTATGGATTTTTGGATGTTAATTTTGTATCTAGAGGCTTTATTGTATTTGCTTATTGTTTCTAGTAGTGTTCTTGTGGAGTCTTTAGGGTTTTCTGTATAGAGAATCATGTCGTCTGCAAATAGTGACAGTTCAACTTCTTCGTTTCCTATTTGGATGCCTTTTATATCTTTCTCTTGTCTGATTGCGCTTGCTAGGACCTCCAATGTTATATTAAATAACAGTGGCAATAGTGGACAACCTTGCTTGTTCCTGATCTTAGAGGGAAGGTTTTTAGTTTTTCACTATTAAGTGTACTGTTGGCTGAGGGTTAGTCATAGATGGCCTTTATTATATTAAGGTACTTTCCTTCTACACCGATTTTGTTAAGTGTTTTGATAATAAATAGATGCTGTATCTTGTCGAAGGCTGTTTCTGCATCTATTGATGTGATCATATGATTCTTATTTTTTAATTTGTTTATGTGGTATATCACATTAATCAATTTGTGTGTGTTGAACCACTCCTGTGCCCCTGTAATGAAGCCCACTTTATTGTGGTGTATAATCTTTTTAATATGTTGCTGTATTCAGTTTGCTAGTATCTTATTTAGGATTTTTGCAAATGTGTTCATGAGAGATATTGGTCTGTAGTTTTCTTTCTTTGTGTTATCTTTACAAGGTTTTGGTATCAGGGTAATGTTGGCCTCATAAATGAGTTGGGAAGCATTGCCTCTTTGGTTTTTTGGAAGAGTTTGAGGAGAATAGGTATTAAATCTTCTTTGAATGTTTGGTAGAGTTCACTGGTAATGCCATCTGGTCCCAAACTTTTACTTTTTGGTAGGTCTTTGATGATTATTTAAATTTCCATCCTGCTGATCAGTACAT